GATAACCAGCTTAAAAATCTGGGGTAAAAGTGAAAAAGCTTTCTGCCACTTCACCATCTGATGCTCTAACTCAGGTGTCGGCCAAATTTTTTTATTTTTTTTTAGTAAGGAGTCATGTCTTATAAAAGACATGTTAAGAAAATATTTTGAAATGGGTAGGCAGGGGTTAATCTTCTTTAATGTGATTATGGTTAAGTTCAGTCATTCAAATCATTAAAAGAGGACATTCAGTTAAACGCCTAAGTTCGGTGGCTACCTTCCCGGGAAAAGTTTGCAGCTTTCTTTTGTTTACCTTACGGCTTTCTTTCCCACAATTAATTGCAGAACCTATCATCTCTTGATATGTCTAAGATAAGATTCCGATGTACATCTTTGTTTTGTAACTTACGTCATTACACACACATGTCAGTACGGAAAAATTACATTTCAATACGGACACAATACATCTCAGTAAAGACACATTCCATATCAATACGGACACGGTACATCTCAGAATGGTCACATAACATCTCAGTGTACACACAGTACTTTCAAGTAGGGAATTATTTCATTTCAGAATGAACACATTACACATGGAAAAGTTAAGTATCAATGGGGGCAGCTGACGACACTGTTGGGATGCAAGCCAACTTTTTGGGGATCACATCTCTACTTGACATTTCAAAGCCTTTGATTTCCTTTAAGTTTTTCAAACCCAACTCATCAAACAGCTGTTTCGTTGGCTCATGACAAAGTAAAGTTTTGAAGACCTACCAATCGCAGTTTTTGATGTAATTACCGTCAATTATTTGACCAAACTTCTTACCACAGTAGTCGACATACTAAAAAAGAAATTAGCGACGTGATTACGATACTAAGAAATTCATAAATTGAAGAGGATTTTATAAAGGTTATACAGTTTTGTAGATTATGCAACAAATAGTGAAATGTAGATAGATATCACAATTACTATCTGATTATTACTAATTTAAAAGCTTTCTTGAAATGTGATTGATGCAACTGATTGAAGTAATTGGATTATTTTTTTCCCCAATATCCACTTTCCATCATCAATATTCGTCATAAACTAGGTTATGCTAATCTCGGATGACCAAATAATACAGGCTGTCATGGTTTCTTACAGGCATATTTCCGTAGGGGTTGGGGGTGGTTCTACCCCGAAGGAAGCCAATTGCCCCCCCCCCCCCGCCCCCGAGCAAAATGTGTGCAACAATATAAAGATTATATTTAAAATTAAAAACGACTTAATTGTCCTTTTAAAATAGTTTTTTAAAAAGATTAGTATCTTGTGCCTTTAACCGATTACAATTAGTGGAATCTATGAAATATCACTATGCTCGATATATTTGATGATCTGTATATTTAAGACTAATCTTTTTAAAGGCGTATAGTATTCGATTGTACATATCGCACTGGCCACTCCAGATTATAAGCTGATGACGTACTTCCTGTAGTTGGCAAAACTTATCGGTATTGTTAGTCCATTTTTTTCTTTTTTTGCAACTTCACAAATTATAAGATTTTAACAACGCTATATAATTTATTATCTTTACATCAATATAAATTTCCAAATGTTAATGATAGTTCTTGCTAAGTACCAAGCATGCGGAATCTATTTACAAATTATAGTTCATCATAAACGCATGACTTTTAACGTAGGGGTAGGTGTCAATTATAAAGTGCAAGACGACAATAGTCTATAAAAATTAAATAAATTTAATTGATTACATGTGTGTTAAGTTATATAAAATCAAAATTTAAAAAAATGAGATAACTTTTTGTTAATTAAGAATTTAACGCCGGGCGAATTGCAAAAAGTGCGCATTCCATCAATTCGCAAGGCATTTGTTGTTGTTTTTTAAATGTGCTACTTTTGTAACAAAGCTTCCCGCATAACAGAGGTTACAAAAATACGTAGGCTATATATATTATCTGGGCCGTCGCTAGACATTTTTAGGTTTGGTGAAAATATGCAATTGTCGTCTTTTTGAAATTTATAAGAGGAGTTCAGAAATTCCTTAAATTGGCATCTGTGTGATGGTCACGCATCGTACCCGCATTGAGCTCAATGTTCATTATGCGCCACCTATTTGCACTAATGATTTTTTGTATATAAATTGTTTTTTCTAGATGGGTGTTACGCACTGACTTGTATTGGGAGAAATTAATCTCCTATTTTACTTTTAATTGGCTCGTTGTAAACAGTGCCTAACAAAGGATGATACCATTGAGTCAACAAACTTTAAAGATACGACACCCAAAACAGTTTCCAGTTACAATTAATTAAGATTTATTAAGTCTTAAGATAATTACAAAAGAAAAGAAAATATAATGACAATCTTCAACTTACAGTATGGTAGATCTTGTACCGGTACACAGTTAATACAGTTAGAATGATGTGCCAATGGATAAGGTGAAATAAACATATATAAGCTCACAAATACACAAAGAATAAAACACGCCTCGTAAAGTTAATAAATCTATCTGAATCTCCGTCCCTCCGTCCGTGCCTGTCAGTCCCTTATATAGGTCGCGTAAGCCCTGTCTTCCAGAAAACTTATGACGTTTCTAGAACAATCACATTCATTCTACAAAATACTACTATGAACAGATTAATTATTTTAGTAGCTGGCGGCAGAAACACGAATAGATCAAAGGACTAAGCCAAACTCCTCTGTGAACACAGCGTCGCATGCGGGGTCAATCATAGGGCACGCACGAGAAAAATTATGTAAACAAGCTCTATATAACAATGGGAATCTATCAGAAAGCTAAAAAAAAAAAAGCAAGATTTTTGTGAACTAGCTTTTCGATTGTCAATTCTTTTTTTAAAAATATGTTGGTACTTGTTTACAAAAATTCTTAATCTCAATTTTTTTCAATTTAAACCAAAAAAAAAAAAAAAGTGGATTTTGTTTAGGTGTTTAAAATTATATCTGAGACAATTTTTAATTGATCAGGAAACAAATTATAGTATTTTGAAATTACAAATAAACATTTGAATTCAAGGAATATTGGAAAATGTATACTTTATTTGCATACGATTTCCTTTAGATAAAATCACATATTAATAAATAAATGATGTCTTATGTAAACATCTTATGTCTTCTTAACATAGTAATGCCGTTCATATACGACTTATAAAAATGACCCGTTTTCACAATCCATAAAAATGTATAGACCTTTGTAATTAATAGGTTTTTTGTTTGTTTTATTTTTACTCTGGTAAAATTTGAAAATGTTCAGAAAACTTAGTCTAATTATTGTAATTTGTTTAGTTTTTCCCCACTTGCCTTCGGCATATGCAATATGTTTGTAGTCCTCTTTGGTGATGGAACCCATTTTAATAATTTTTTTTGAGAATTCATTTATTAATTAAGTAACTATCCCCCCCCCCACCCCCCCGCGCCCACCCAAAAAAAATAGTGTAAATTTTTAAAAAAAATTAAAATCCACATTACTATTTTTAGTAATAAACATTTTTTGTGTGCATAATTCAAGCCCAAGCACTTTCACGCCCCCCCCCCCACACACACACTTTTTTCCTTTGCAACCTGTTGTCTAATTCAAGCTTCCACATAACTCGTTTTGCCATTTCATTTACTAGGCTTGAATGCAGTCCTTTAATAATTATATTTTTGTCTTGTCACCGTGATATTTTCTTATGGTATTAACAAGGCTTCATCCGTCAAGCAGATGGCACTGACAGACTTTCATACTGACACCATTCTCAAAGAGAAAGTTAAAGAAATTGATTTTACAGACTTGCATACTGACAGCATTCTCAAAAATAAATTCAAAGAAATTGATTTTACAGACTGACATACTGACAACATCGTCAAAGAGAAATCCAAAGAAAATGATTTTACAGACTTGCATACTGAAATCATTCTCAAAATGAAATTCAAAGACGTCCATTTTTAAAAACAATTTTGCATGCATCACTAAAAGGTGATATTTTTCTAAGTATTGAACACTTTGCTATCAAAATGATTGTTTTATTTGGTTTAACTTATATATGGGAGCAAACGGTCTTCTTTATGAACACCACTGACTCCAAGTATATGTCTCAGCTCACTGGTACACATTTTGATTCCATGCTGTGCCCGCATTATTAGTAATTAATAGCTGTTTGAATGTTGTTGTTTTTTTAGGTTTCTTATCAACACTTACAGACTATAAACGATCTCCACTTATAACAAGAAACTAGTTATCAGATTATATCTGTTATATCTCCGATTATAACAAGTAACTTGTTATCTGTTAATATTCATCTAAATATAATTATTTTGAATTTATTTTAAAATCTCTATAAACAAACACAATCTTCCTGCTGTGCTTTCGGATTCTAAATTGCAGATAAGCGTTAATTTTTATTTTATTTTTGTTTTTTACGTTGTTTGTTCGTTGAGGAAGGCTTCTTGCCGATATGTTTCTTGTTTTCTTTCGTCCTTTCTTTACACGGATTTACCCCATACTTTTGTTTCTCGTATTTTTTTTTTTTTGGTCTATATTTTAGGTTGCTAAAAAGACATTAGCATGCGCCCCTGGCCCTCCCCAAAAAGCTTATTTTCCACAGGGCTCTCCACACGAAAAAGGCCAACCATCCCTAGCTTAACTGAAAACTTCTTAATTTTTTTTTTTAAAGCATCACATCAATTTTAATGACTAAATAATAGCTCAGTTTCTTTCGATCAGTTCGGTAATCATTTTTTCCTGCTTTCATTAATTTTACATTAAAGCTTCGCGCATGTCACCGAACAGGTTTTGATGTCCGATGACGGTTTGTGTGGTCGAACAATCAAAGCAGAGTAAATGATGTTGCGTTGCAGGCTGCTTGACCCCCCCCCCCCCCCCCCCCCCCTCCCCCCCCCCCCCCCCCCCCCCCCCCCCCCCCCCCCGACATGAAGGCACGTGTATCCCTCACGACCTGAGGGTTAACATTTGATGTAGAACTTAACATGTTGTGTCTGAAATGAAACTGAAGCACTAGATCTGAAGCAGAATGACACCCTGGATCTGATCTGAAACATGACTGGCACACTGCATCTGAAACATAAAGGTTACACTGGATCTGAAACAGAAATGACACACTGGATCTGAAAAATAACTGACACACTGACTATAAACAGGACTGACACACTGGCTATAAACAGAAATGACACATTGGCTCTGAAACAGAGCTGACACAGGGCATCTGGAGTAGAAATGACACGCTGGATCTGAAATAAAACTAACCCACTTGCTCTGAAACATTACTGAGACACTGCATCTATAATAGATATGACTCATCTCTGTTTCAGAGCCAGCGTAACACTGGATCTGAACGCACAATTGATGCAGCATAGAGTTTACACAAGGTAGCTGATACTCAAGACAGCTGATGAAGGTCTAACACACTGTAGCTCACCTGGATCTCAAGGTATTAAGAAATCAATTTATTTTTACCATAATTTATTTTTAGCACAATTTAATTTTAGTATAATTTATTATTTGTTTATGTATTCATCGAACGAAAAGGTGTTTTTATATATATATATAATTATGTTTAATACACTTTTAAAATAATAGCATCGTCCTAGTTTATATCCCCTTGAGATAGTCAACAAACATGATCACAGTCCATTGTAACCTTTTAGTTTTGACTAGTTAATGAACAGTCGGAAGTTAAGTCACAGAAATTTCCCGATGTGTATTAACATTTTCCCATTATAATTTTTTTTTTTTTTTAAAATGCAAAATTTTTAACATAACTCAAGGGGAAAGTCCTACAATCATATTTCTACAATTTAACAGAATGTATTTTCAAAACCAAAAATCTGACAATTTTGTACCTAATTTTTTTTTTTTTTTTAACTCTGTCATTTTTTTTTTTTTTTTAAAATGCAAAATTTTTAACATTACTCTAGGGGAAAGTCCTACAATCATATTTCTACAATTTAACAGAATGTATTTTCAAAACCAAAAATCTGACAATTTTGTACCTAATTTTTTTTTTTTTTTTAACTCTGTCATTTTATTCATCAGATAGCATTTCGTCGTTTTACTATGAATACATTCGCAGTAGTCTTCGCCTTACTCATCATTGCTATGGGATTGACAGTCTTCCTAATCACCTCGACTCAGTCGTCATGCTCCTATGTAAATATGTTCTTTATTTCTTTTTTAAACTAATTCTTTTAAAGCGCACCACGTTGAGCTCAGCCGATTAGCAACACCACTTAGAACTTAGGAAGTAGCTGTATTTAAACTAAGATACTCATAACAGTAAATGTGTATGATGATGATGATGATTGAATACGTGTTATAGTGCTTGTGTCCATGCAATTTTAACATGCTCACAGCGCTCTGAGGTCCTAAAATCTATTAAAATTTTGTTAAAATATTTAAATGTTTCTTAAATGTACTAATTGTGTCAGTGAAAAGAAGTGGTTATCTCAAAGAGTAAAAAAAAAAAAATGCTGTGGAGTATATAAATGGAAATAGTATGGAGGCCGAGTGGTCTAAACTGAGTCAATTCAAAAAACAAAACCATCCCCCAACATCCCCCCACCCCTGCAACCCGTGTTGATGGGACTCGTTAACCTTGGACGGCCACTCATCTAAGAGGAGGCAAACTCTGAATTCAAACCCGGAGATGGAGTTTCGTATGTGGATAATATTGAAACAATGAATCTTCGGAAACTCCTGCGACGCTAATGGTGCCTAGCTGTGTCATCCATAAATAATGTTGCCTTAGGTTATCCATGTGCGTGGAGAGAGTCGAGTAGGTGACAAGGTTTTGCGTCCTCCCAAAGAAATATCCCACATTGTGATGGACGAATGCCATAAAAAATATTATAAATGAGACAAGATGTCTGAAAAAAAAATTCTACTCGATAATTGCGTTCCATCACACGCGAGGGAGTAACAAAAACTATATCAAACTTTTTGCAAATCCAATTACCTAACACTTGGATTTCGGATAGTCAAAATAAAATCGCTACTGGAAGTTTGCACATTTTGCTGTTCCAATACCGAATTAATTATTTTTTAAATCACATCACTCAAAACAAAACTACATTCGCTTGAATTATTAAATATGTGAAGCGATATACATTTGACCAATCTAAAAGAAAATTGTTTGATACATCCTAACCTCTTCGTCACAAATACCTAAGATCATCTCGATCATTGCGAATTCTTTTCCTCAAAGTTTGGACCAAAAGATATAGAAAAATTCAATTGTTCTCAAATACACAAGCATTTATCAGTTTTTCTCTCGGCTGTTACAAAATGTAAATAATCACTCTCCAAGACAACACTATCCCTAAAGGAGTGATGCTCCATGACATAGAACTGCTGATTTTGTGCCATTGGGAATTACTTTAAAATGTCTTGTGTTTAAATTTGTCAGGTATAAAAGTGTTTCTCCTATAAGGCTCTGTAGGTAGCAAATGAAAAAAAAACGTATATGTCCTGTATTAACAGCGTTAATTGTAACATTGATTTTGTATTGTTATATGTATTGTCTAATGGGGTTCTTCATCTTGCGTTTGCTTATTCAGCACTCCTAATTATCATTCCAATGCTTATTGTAAAAAAGAATGAGGCCAAATTCCACGAATCGCATCATAACATATTTATTGACAGAATATTTACTTCACACAGTATAAAATAAATCTCCTAAACTGAAGGAAACATGCCTGTTCGTTGCCTTGTTACTTCATACACATAATTCACTCAGATTGCAATATACATATCACGATGCTCATAGATAAACACTTAGTGGATGCAAGAGCACAAAAAATCAAACTGCAATGATAACCATGTATGAATCACTTCTCCTCTTGCTCATACTTTTGATTATGATATATTAAGACATTTAACTTCCTGTTAATACTAAATTGTAAAAACAATACATTGCGCGAAACAATTCATTATGTTAATATTTTATCTGTTAAATGTCCATTTAATTTTAAAATTTAAAAAAATACATTTTCCATTGATTTGGGTCAGTAAAAGAATATTATCTTAGTAAACGCGTTTCCCGAATGGTTGAGGCATCCAGGAATCTGAATTTCTCAAAATGCTTATCGAAGTAATTTTTTTATTTTTAATAAGCTTCCTTTCCAACCAAGAAAGACCAAGGAAAACGAATGTTACAGGGCCTTTTACTTCCTCTTTCCAGTGTATTTCAGTCACAACTCTCTCTAGAAATTTGGAACCAGATGAAACAGAGTCATCAACGATAGAATTTCTAGCCAATGAACTGAAAAAGAAATTGTCGCTGGCCAACGTGACAGCAAATGTCGAAAACATCACGACATTATGTCGAACTCTCAAAATCCAGTATGTAGACAAATGTAACCGGACGGACATAGACGACAACTGCACGCAGAGACAGCTGCCGGAAAACTTGGAGACCAGGATAGAGCAACTGGTGTTCAGAAAAAATCTGATAATATCCCCTTACTATCGTGACGTCATCAGAAACATGACCAGCTCCATCACAAGATCGTATGACCTCATCATTGTGAGTGCGCTGTCATCGAATCACTACAACGAGACCCAGGTCAGTGAAGAGACATTTTTAGATATTTTTTTTTTTTTAATGTCTGAATTAGGGGGGGAGGGGGGGGGGGGGGGGCGTTTTTGGGGGGGGGGGGTCCAGTAGATCTATTTTAATGGTCTGGGGTAAGCCATCGGCAACGAGAGTCATCTGCTTGTTTCTGGCATACAAAATCTTCAGATCGTGGAGACTACGCAAAGATTCGTACCGAGGCTGTGACAATAAGACACGTCACTTAACTGTGACGCCACTTGTAGGGGGGCCCAACATCCTGTAACCTCTAAAAAAAAATTTAAAATCCTTTTTTTTTTTTTTTTTGCTTATCAATCATTAATTTTATTGAATCTAAATAAACCCCCTTTTTTTTACATGAAAATATGATTAATCTTATGTAGCCCATATAAAAAATAAAAAAATTTAAATTCCTTTTTTTTTTTTTTTTTGCTTATCAATCATTAATTGTATTGAATCTAAATAAACCCCCTTTTATTTACATGCAGATATGATTAATCTTATGTAGCCCATATAAAAAAACATGTTCTCTCAAGTCGAAATCGACGCATGTTTAGTTCTTGCCGTCGGCGCATTATGTCCGTGGTTTACGCCATCAAGACCATCTGTTGGCTTAACCTAATCAATCCCTCGTTCGTCCATTTGTCATAGCTTCAACTACAAGCCTTCTTCCCTTTTTTTTTCCTCCCTAAATTTTAAATTATTATATTTTATTCCGAGTTATTATTATTTTTTTATTTTTAAAATTAACACAACTTCGAAGAAGGCCAAAGAAAAAAAAAAAAAAAAAAAAAAAAAAAACATGAATTATTATTATCCCATGATAATGAGATTGTATTTACTTTTTAATATGTTTACCCCATTTAAACACGCACAGCTCCTCAATCATGGATTGTTTTTGTTCAAATCTATTGACTTCTGCAACAGGCCATGTTAAAAAACCTTCACCAAGAGGTGTTCGTACATCTCACCAACTTTTTGTTGGTTCTGTTTGACCTCGGCCTGACCCCAGAGGAGAGAGGAGAACTGGAGAAATACTGCAGGTTAGTTGCCGCTGGCTATTTGTATGAGAGCAACAGTTGCTATTGCCTATGGAATCATTACTTATAAACAAAATTTATTATATGAAGACCAACATTATTTACGCATGGCTACTAATTTGTCAAATATTTTGTATATGCCAAGTGGGGTCTTTCTAGGATGACAATAATTTTCCCCAGAAAGGTTTCCTTTTCATTTTTTTTAACCCAAAATATAAGGTGAAACAGAGACCAAAAGGAAATCATGCAAATTTAAAGAACTCATAAAAAAAATAGTTTTTATATAAATCCTCTATAAAATATTATAACTTGCAAAGGGGTCAAGGCAAAAAATGTGTTTAAACATGCATACAAATAACACATTTTTTTAAAAATCCCAATTTGTGCCCCCCCCCCCCAAACTAAGCCTCACAACCGCACATAATAATAAAAATAATATAACTTGCAAAGGGGTCAAGGCAAAAAATGTGTTTAAACAGAAAGACAAATAACAAATTTTTTTAAAAATCCCAATTTGGGACCCCCCCCCCCCCAAACTAAGACTCACAACCGCACATAATAAATTATTTGTACCCGCTTTTAAAAGGTTTAAGAAATATTTCAATTACACATTAATCCTATATTCTATTTTGCAGGTGCACATTGATACTATATTCTATATTTCAGATGCACTGTCATTACGTTTCCTTTCCACCTCTTCCCTCCCCACTTTGAAAAGATGAAATGTTTTGCCTGGAAACCTCCAATAGTCAGATCCATGATTGATAAAGCGAATGTTGTCATTTGGCAAGACGCGTCCATAAGGTAGGACTGTGTGAGGTTGATTATTATTACATCAAGAAATGGCGTCAGCGGGGCGAGTTTGCACTCTTTATGCCCCCCCCCAAATTACCCCTCCCCGGCCCAACGTATCGGGCCGCGGAGTAGCACGTTGGAGATGCCCCCTCGTCAGGACGGCCCCCACCCTGGCCCCTCACCCAGGTCCCCGACCCGGGCGCCTGGGCGCTTGACCAGGATCCCGCATGGGGGCCACCCCAACCAGTAGGCACCCGGTCGGTCCGACACTATGCGTTTAAATAGTGCACTCGATCGACTTTCTTTAGGAGTTGGGATGGAAAATTTACGTCTAATATCTTCCCCCACCCATCCCGGGAAAGCGTCGGACGCCCTATAAGAGGGATTCCACAGTGGGTTTCCACAACGCAACTAGCTCGCGCTGTAGCTGGGACGAAACGGTTGCCTAGGGACAGCTTTCTCAGGGCTGCATTTTTTGAATCCTCGGCCAGAGGTTACCACCCTCGCCTCTGGCCTCATACCCGTCACCGGCAACTTGTAATCATGATCCCTACCCTGGCTCTGCCTAATTTTCCGTCTGTGAAGTATCACAACTGGCAGCCCTGTGGGAGCTGTTTTATGTACGGCAGGTACCGAGCACACCCTTTGTCTGCCCACGCGGGGCGTGCCCAGTAGTTCTGTTCCCCGGCACACGCCGAGGGGGTCGGTGGCCGACGCTTCCTAATCGACAGGCCACAACAGACTTGCCAACCGGAAACCGGGGTCCGTGTGAGGTTGATAAAACGATTGATCAAGCAAATGTTTTCATTTGGCAAGACGTCTCCATCAGGTAGGACGGTGTGAGGTTGATAAAACGATTGATCAAGCAAATGTTCTCATTTGGCTAGACGTCTCCATCAGGTAGGACTGTGTGAAGTTGATAAAGCGATTGATCCAGCAAATGTCCCCATTTGGCAAGAAGTCTCCATCAGGTTAGAACAATTGTTTTATTATGAAGAAGCCTATATTGACATTTGGCAAGGCGACTTTATCACGTTGGATGATGAGGCGGCAAAAAAAGACCCTATTTACCTATTCAGATCATAAGTTATGGTCCACATTTTTCATGAAAGTACTTTAAACCACACCTAACACAACTTACATTTAAAAGTAAATTTTAAATTTTATACGATTAAAGTACAGCTCAATAATATACACAGTGGATTTGTTTGTTCTTATCACCATTAAATCGTCTCTCAGTTGTCATTGTACAAAGAATTGTGTATCATGTTACCATTTGACCAGCACTTGCTGGCCTACATATGTTCATGTTACCATTTGACCAACACTTATTGGCCTACATATGTCACTGTTACCATTTGCCCAACACTTGATGGCCCCACATATGTCCATTTTACTATTTGACCAACACTTGGTGGCCTACATATGTCCATGTTACCATTTGAACAACACTTGGTGGCCTGCATATGTCCATGTGACTATTTGACCAAGATTCAATGGCCTACATATGGCTTTGTCATTGATTGACAACACTAAATTGACTTATAAAGATCAATACTCGGAGGTCGAGATTTTACTCTCTTAGGACCTTGGCCGTGAAACATGGCCTAGTAGTCCATGGGGACTCCGGCCATGCAACTCGGCCTTGAGCAAAATGGGGTTTGGAACAGCTTTACTTCCTCTCCGGAGATGGCGTTGCGTTGCCACCTCCACCGCCCGGGAGCTGTTCGTTTTCCCCTTGGTGTGGGACAGCTTCGCCTCCGCTCCGGAGATGGCGTTGCGTTACCACCTCCACCGCCCGGGAGCTGTACGTTTTCCTTGGTGCGGGACGGCTTTGCCTCCTCTCCGGGAGTAGTTGCTGGCTTACTAACTCCCACCATCCCGGGAGTCCTGAGCCAAGTTTTGGGGGTTCCCAACGAGTTGTTTCCCTCCGGGGAGGCGTTTCGTTGCCTCAAACCCGCGTTTTTTCGGGAGCTGTTCGGACCGGACAGAACGGCTTTAACTTCCTCTCCGGGGGAGGCGTTGCGTTGCCTCGATCCACCGTTCTGGGAGCTGTTCGGGCTGGACATGTCGGGACGAAACGGTCGCCTAGGGGTGGCTTTCTCAGGGCCACGTCTTTTTAATCACTGGCAAGGGTTTAGGACCCACTACCTCATACCCATTACCGGCAACACGTAATCATGTTAGCGCTTCCTTCCGTTGCGTTAGAAGTCATGCGTTTTGCAAAATAAATAAATAAATAAATGAAAAGGGGGTTGAGCAAAATATCTTCCTCCCAGTGGAAGGGGGCTTTGCGTTACCCCCTCCCCTAGCCCAGTGGGTCTTCCGATAGGGACAGTGTGATCTTTGGCTTCAGGGAGCATGCCCTATACTGGTCTTCCACGCCACGAAGAGGCAGATCACGTGCACACCACCTCGAGCAAAGTGGTGTGAGTTTCCCCCGGTCTAGCGCAAGCCATCCCGAGGGAAACTTGGAAGACTAAATTGACTAAAAGTTTCTATCATTAGATACACCCAGCCTGACGTCATTCCCGTCATGGTGAGACGAACCATTCAGCGCGGAGTACAGCAACGTTACTTCACAGGTGCAATACCAAATCCATATTGGACACTGCCTCAGGTAAGTTTAGTCTGAGTATAGCCTAAACTAAAAGAGTTGATGAAACTCTAGAATTTTCTTTTTGTACAATATTTAAGAAAATTATAATATCACTATAATGTATTTCAAGGGTTCTGAACCTGGAGAGCGGGAGGCAGTGTAGGGGGCGCGAGATGATCCACAGATTTGAGATTATTAGCATTTTTATCCCGTTGTTGCCGAAGAATACCAAATCCATTTTTAACGCTTTCTCGTGTAAAATCTTGATGGGTTTTGCAAAGATCAACTAATCAGTAGGATCATTTAGATGTTCGTTTAAAATTTACAAATATATTTCTTATATAATTAACCAGACAGGGGAAAAAAAAGAGTGTTTTAAAAAATATCGTTACGAATACCTTTACAGAACAATGCAATCATTACCTTATCCTCGTGCATTGTTTCTAGATGTTTGAATATTTCGGAGACTCCCCGTGCGCTCATATGGCGTTTAATCAATGCGAGGGAACGTTTGGAATGTATCACAGGTGAGTGATTGCTCTTGTTTGGAATGTATCACAGGTGAGTGATTGCTCTTGTTTGGAATGTATCACAGGTGAGTGATTGCTCTTGTTTGGAATGTATCACAGGTGAGAGATTGCTCTTGTTTGGAATGTATCACAGGTGAGTGATTGCTCTTGTTTGGAATGTATCACAGGTGAGTGATTGCTCTTGTTTGGAATTTATCACAGGTGAGAGATTGCTCTTGTTTGGAATTTATCACAGGTGAGTGATTGCTCTTGTTTGGAATGTATCACAGGTGAGTGATTGCTCTTGTTAGGAATGTATCACATGTGAGTGATTGCTTTTGTTTGGAATGCATCACAGGTTAGTGATTGCTCTTGTTTGGAATGTATCACAGGAGAGTGACTGCTCTTGTTTTGGCTTTTTGGCGCCTTGATGCTGTCACGCCTTCATACTTTCAACATGCTAATTTTTTTCTTTCTCTTCCCCTGTCTATCCCCGTGATTACGAGTCGATGTTGTGTTCTTCTATCTATCCCCCGTGATCACGAGTCGATGTTGTGTTCTTCTCCTCCATCTATCCCCGTGATCATGAGTCGATGTTGTCTTCTTCTTCCCCCGTCTAATCCCCGTGATCACGCGTCGATGTTGTGTTCTTCTCCCCCGTCTATGTCCGTGATCACGAGTCGATATTGTGTTCTTTTTCCCCCGTCTATGTCCGTGATCACGAGTCGATATTGTGTTCTTCTTCCCCATCTATCCCCCGTGATCACGAGTCAATGTTGTGTTCTTTTTCCCCCGTCTAGGACGTGATCACGAGTCGATGTTGTGTTCTTCTTCCCCCGTCTATCCCCCGTGATCACGAGTCGATGTTGTGTTCTTCTTCCCCATCTATCCCCCGTGATCACGAGTCAATGTTGTGTTCTTTTTCCCCCGTCTATCCCTGTGATCACGCGTCGATGTTGTGTTCTTGTCCCCCGTCTATCCCCCGTGATCACGAGTCCATATTTTCTTTTCTTCTTCCCCATCTATCCCCCGTGATCACAGGTCCATGTTTTGTTTGCTTCTTCCCCATCTATGCCACGTGATCCCTGGTCCATTTTGTTTTCTTCTTTGTATCGAAACCCCCCCCCCCCCGGTGTCACTCACCGTTCCGGTCTCAGTTCGGTGAACAATTCATGCATCCAGCCTATCGTGACACAGTGTCGCGCATGTTTAAAAAACAGAACTTGGATGGTAACGAATTACACAATTGAAATTTTCTAACGTATAGGTTGATAACTTCCAGGCTTGTATTTGAAAACGTGTGTTTATTCATTGATGAGCAGACGTTAACATGGGGTTCAAGGAATTAAGAAACTTATTACAAAAGAGAGGTGGACACAAACAAACAAAAATGTGTATCACAAAATGCCCAAACACAAACGATGTGATTTTTTTTAAGAGCTTCCATGTTATTTAGTGGCTAAAATGCCACCCGGAGCGAACTCGCGCGAAAAAAAATAAAATAAATAAGTTAAAAAATTCCCACAATCACACAAGGTGCTGGTGATAACATAAACTTAAGTTTTACCAGGGGCGTTTCCCACCCCCCTTCGCCCCTTTTTAGGGTACGCCGCCAATATTCATTCTATCGAATCATTAGTTCGGCCAGGGCAGTCGTCCCGAGTAATTATTCTTTTGATCTTTCAGCGAACCACTTGTCGTGAAGGCCGTCCTTGACCCCTGGTTCGGCTGCGCACTCAGTCCTGCATGCACGTGCCCTGCAAATCAGCGGGCGTATCAGGATTGTCCACGTGAACGAGACCCCACCAAACTCGGCCACTGCATGAGGCATGACCAGTCGTCCATAACGGTCATCCTCGCCAAGCTGTTCCGAGAGAAATTCCACCATTTCGTCGTCAACGTGCATTGGTTCCAGGACACCAAGCGGGGAGAACAGACGATTTACTTCTCAAAATAGGACTAGAAAAAGTTATTTCTATACCAGATAACATATAACACACAATCTCCACATAAAATATGCATTGTGGTGTATTGCGTTGCGAGAGAGGGGAGAAAAGAGCCATCTCATTAGATGTGACATTGCTTTTGTATTATAATGAGTACTAGTAAAATTACCCGGCTCTGCTCCGGCTTGTGATATATGACCAAAAAAAAAAAAAACCTTAGCTAAAGTAACTATTAACATTTCATTTCCTTCTATAACAGACTAGATTTAATAATTATTGTAGCATTAAACTGTTGCCCATCACGTTTCAGTTAACATTCCTGAAGCCTGACCTTGTACTGAGTGCCTATCATTGTACTTTTCCAATTCTGGTTGGTTGTCAAGTATTACCACCAACTGTGTCGAAAATCAATTCTTTTTTTTTTTTAATTGGGCCATGTATGTTTTGGCTGATTGGGAAGGCACCAGCCATTTGTCTAATTTTCTGTTTCCGAATATGGTCCCTTCTTTTTTTTTTGTGGCTCCCCTCAAAGATCTTATCGTGCTGGTTACCATTTTTTTGTTATTTTCCAATTCTTGTTGGTTGTTAAGTATTACCACCAACTTTGTCGAAAATCAATTTTTTTTTTTTTTTAATTGGGCCATGTATGTTTTGGCTGATTGGGAAGGCACCAGCCATTTGTCTAATTTTCTGTTTCCGAATATGGTCCCTTCTTTTTTTTTTGTGGCTCCCCTCAAAGATCTCATCGTGCTGGTGACCATTTTTCTCACTATACTTTATGCAGAGGCCAGGTTTGACACTGTAATACTACAGTGTGATTTTCGGATGTAAGTTATGCAATTTTGACATTAACTTTTTTTGCAAGGTATTTAAGAAGTTTATGATAAACATGTACAACATGTAAATAATTTAATTTAAAAAAGGTGTAATCTAATATGGACTGAAATTGTTCCGTGTTTAACAAGTTATACCTCTTAGACAGTGCTATCCTCATAGAATACACCTCTGAGACATGGCTATCCTCATAGAATAAACCTCTGAGGCATGGCTATCCTCATAGAATACACCTCTGAGAATGGCTATCCTCATAGAATACACCTCTGAGACATCGCTAATCTCAAAGAATACACTTCTGAGACATGGTTATCCTCATAGAATACACCCTGAGACATGGCTACACTCATAGAATACACCGACCCATCTTTTGACTAAAGTCTGTTTGAGTATCAATCCCAAGCTATTGATTCTCCCTTCCAACATGCTTCATAAGGTAACTGATCAAAATAAATGGACATTTGTTGTTTTTTTTGTCATTCATGGTACATATGTTTTTTTCAGTCCTGAAAATGCTTGTTTGTGTTTATATTAATCAATAAGGAGCCACGGGTAAGTTGTCGGACTGTCTGTAGGGCTATTATTTAAAAGAATACTGACAGGGTGTAGGGCTGGCGGTAGGTCTATTGCTTAAAGGCTAGCAGGTAGGCTGTAGGACTGTCTGTTGGAATATTGTTGAAAGTCCGGCAGGTAGGGTGCATGAGCAGTTGACTCTTTTTGACACGTGTTTATTTTGACACTTGTCTATGTAGACGCGTGTTTGCCGCCCGCCCCTAAAATTCAACTGCTTACCTGCGTTCAACCATCACGAATGACACCCGCATCGTGACCGCTTTTCCTTCCCCTACTCAGTAATGATTATATAAAAGATGCTGAGAAGGGGACGGCCGGTTGTCAAAAGGAAGCAGGACACACCAGAGGCAATATGTATATATATATATATATATTATTATACAGACAGATGATGGGATACCTTAAGAGATACATTTTTATGTTGCACTTTAGTCCACAAACACGTGTCAACATAAACATGTGTCAACATAAACATATGTAAACATATACATGTGTCAACATAAACACGTGTAAAAATATACACGTGCCATCATAAACATTTGTCAACACGGACACGTGTCAACTTAAACATAATGTGTCAACATAAACACTGTCAACATAAAGACGTGTGAAGATAAAAATGTGTCAAGATTAACATGTGTCAAAATAAACAGTGTCAACATAAACATGTGTCAACACTAACATGTGTCACTATAAAAACATGTCAACCTAAACATGCGTCAACATAAACATAATTCAACAAAAACATGTGCCGGTATAATCCTATGTTAACAAAAAACGTGTCAACATAAATACGTCTTTACATTGGCTTGTCTTTTTTTTTTTTTTTTTTTTTTTTGTTTTTTTTTTTTTTTTTTTTTTTTTGCTCATTTAACTGGCTAACTGAATAACTTTAAAATCTAAGGGCAGCCCTTTAACAAACTGAATGAATCTCATTGACTATCTGATTGCAGTCCTATAATTAGCTGAATTAGCTGGAGCTCAATTCCAGTCAAAGCCCAGTCAAGCAAAAATACCATCAGCACCCTGGGTAGATGGGGCTCGCTAACCTTGGATGGCAACTCACCTAAGAGAAGGAAACTCTGAAATCAAAACCCGGAGATGGATTCCCGAAAGGCGGATAAAATTGGTACAATGAAACATTCCGACAACTTCTGCGACGCCACTGGTGCCAAGCTGTATCATCCAAATGATGTTCCCGTGGGTTATCCAGCTGCGTGGAGAGAGGCGATTTGCTGTTTGGAAACAGTTTATAATCCTTGAAGAATAATCCCAGGTCTTGTGGATTTCGACCCCCGAAGCCCACACCATCGCCGCATTGTGACGGACGGTAGCCAGCGAATTAGCTGAATGCAGCTATTTAAATAGCCGATTGAAGTTTTTTTTTTTTTTACAATTTATATGCTCAACGCAGTTCTAATTAACCACTTCGACGCAGTCATTTTCCTGGCTGAAAGGGGGTTCAAGTACTAGTGAAATCCAGCACCAAAATTATCTAAGTTCAACTAGACAACAGACTCAATAATTGAAATTTAACTATTGCTGTATAATATAATAGAGCGTGCATTGTCTACCATACAAATTTCGCTGTGATGGAATTTAGCTCGTCGTTTTGATATGTCTACGTTACTTCGACCTGGGAAACGTTAGTTTTAATTTGTTAGGTAAAATATACATACTATTTAATCATATCACATATATAAAAGTGAAAATGTGTCTGTTTGTTCCACAAAGGCGTTTACATCGATTGAAGGATCTTCTTGGCACATATATCCATCATTATCCAGAAGGTACTCTTAATGGGTTATGAACGCTCTATAACATTCCGTTTGGGGTCGGGGCCCAAAATGTCGTGTGTTTTTTTCTGTTATCAACTATAGAAATAAAAAGACCAACAAATACTCCTACATCCATAGGTGGGTCTTGACCAAACTTAGAACACATACACTTTATTATCTATATTCAAATAACGAAGGGTACGTAACTTATAATATGCAGTTCTCTGGGGCGTGGGGGGGAGGGGGAGACTTCATTTTTCCCTTATGAGCTATATAAATACCAATATAGGCTTAATACTCCTACATGAATAAATGGATTTTGACCAAACTTAGTTCACATACACTTAATTATCCACATTCAAATACCCCATTTCATTTTTATAAGCTATATAAATACAATATGCTTAGACAACACTTTAGGTTCTATGTGAATTCATGGATATATGCCTCGCCTGGTAGCAATACTCTTCATTGTCCATATTGAAATATCTGTGGAGTTAAAACTAGGAATATCCAATCTAGAGTTTTCTAGAAAGTTCGATAATTTTAAAAAGCTATCTCTATAGCATTTTTAAACCGATTTTCATCTGACACCATTTAAAGTTTAACTCCACAATTTATATGAATGATTTTTATGGGATTCCCCATCTCAGGCAAAACTTATTCGGTAAAATTATGGAATGGGCCCCCTCTTTTATCTTAATTGTGTTATAGCTATAGCAGTGCATTTAGTTGTATAATTTATCGAGTTCAAAGAATAATTACTTAGAAAGTTATTGTTTACATGTTTCAAGGAGATTTTTTAAATTGTATCTAGAATGTTCCAGAATGTTCTATATAGTTCTACATGGACATAAAGGAAATAAATGCTTATAGTAACCTTAACGAGATCCAGCAATAAGTTAAACCCAACGGCAACGCCATCCATTTTGGGTAATGGGATCAAACCGGGATCGGGATCCTTTCAGAAAATGGGATCCTATCAGAGAATTAGGATCCCACCGGGAAACGGGATGCTCATGGTAACAGCATCCTAAAGGGATCGGGATCCAACTCGGATCGGAATCCTATCGGAAAACTCAAACCTAACGAGATCGGTAACCCACCGGTATCGGATTCCGAAAGCTATCGGGATCCCACCGGTATCGGGATCCCACCGGGATAAGAATATCGACGGGATTTGGATCATCCCGGAATTGGGATCCAGAGGGATCGGAATCCAACTGGGAAATGTTATACTAACGGGAGCGGGATACCGACGGGTAATATCACAGAATGGGGCTGGGCAGTTACTAGGACGTGAATGCATTGTCCCGACCACTGAGAAAGTCAACTGCTGATGTCGTGAGTACAGCGACATCGATCAAGAATATGTCCTTAGACTGAGATGACCCTCGTAGATCTGGCCAGTCGAGTGAAGTTACCGGTGAGAGTTCTCCTTTGCAGATGGAGATCTCCAACGCTCTACTTCACGGTCCGATTGTTATTGCAAGTTTAACTTCGTTAAGGATCTTGTGCGTGTGAATGTTTTGGTGAGGTCATTGGGAGTTTTATTTTACTTGCTCGCTGACGCCATTTCCTAGACTTGATATTTAGTGAAATCGGCGCCATCTGGTACCGTCAGCGATATTGTTAGGTAAACGATTATGTATCTTGAACATAGTCGCAGAGGGAAAACAACATAACTACACCATAGCGGCCGACGGATAAAAAGACAGCAGTATGATTCTGATAGACCAAAGGACTAAAAACTTTACCAAACCAAGAGACTAATAAACATACAACAGTACCAAATTGAAAGACATACGATGTAGATATATTATTGCACCATATCGATAGGCGAATTTAGACATACTACTGTTTCATACCGACAGATGAATAGACAGTCTAAAAGTGTTTCATTCAAATAATTTCCTCGGTTTTGTGGGGGGGGGGGCATTAAAATTTATGAATTTTGGGTGGGCAGTACAGTGGACAGATGTGTAACTAAATGGGGGCTGGAGGGGCGGCATTTTTGACAAATACATAATTTGCATCGTGAGAGAAATAGGCCGAAAAGTTTGTCCAATCCTTGGTGGCACTTTATAACTACATACGCCACCTAGCAGTGTATCTGTCAGCACCAACAATGGCCTTACGCGAGTATACATGAATTCATTGTTTCTATTAGACTTTTGAGAGCGGTGAAGGATTCTGTAAGTGACCGGGGCAGGGCGAGCGGCATAATCTGAATTTCTTTCCAGGTTGTTGTTTGCCCCATGGTACTCATTTCACACTAGGTCATATTAAACCCCACACTGGCACATAGATGAGCGTGAGAGAAGGGAGATGCAGATATCGATGATGTCCATACTGTTGGGCTAATTCAAAATGCAGGGATGCATTTTGGCACATACTTAAATTTTTGGGGGGTTTTTCAGAAAATTTTAATGGGGCATTTCAGACTTTCGGTTGGGAAGAGCCAAAATTAGCCATAACAACGATAAAGGACACCTCTAACTCTGCCCCAGGGCAAAATGAACTAATTAATTCCATTTTTGTTGGCCTTGAGGGTATGTTTTTGCCCTAGCTTAGTCTCTAAACTTAAATCTTTATTTTCGTTTATCAATTCAAAATGGAAGAATTCATTTAAAACATACCTGAATTTATATTTATAATGTTCTACAGTGAATTGGAGAACAACGGAAAAGCTGTTAGTTAAAATTTTAGTTGTCACTTAACATCAGAGCCATCGTGAGTGCCCCAGAATGCTTGCAGCTGCAGGTGGCCTCAAACATTTTAGAATTATCAACTTTAAATAGCTAACGGGGGAGGACAAAACAGGTAATTTGCAGGGGGACATCGAGAAGTAAAGTAACAGCTTTGCTTCAACTGCTTGTGTTATACAAATATTTTTATATCACTAAATAAGTATGTGGAATTTATTTGTATGCAATTTATTTTGTGGTTTACTTCTTAATAAATAAATTTAAAAAAAAACAGATCATTTTACATATTGAACGAAAACAATAAATTTTAATTATATAAGTTTAACTTGTCGAAAAGAAAACAAAAATATTTCGTTGAAGGGTCTATACATTTTGATACGTTTTCAAAGCTGGTTATTTTTAGAAATCACATATAGGGCAGTAGACTTAAGACACTTGCAAAAGACATTCATTTATCAATGCATAGTTTTATCTAAGTGAAATGGTTTACTAATAAGGTATACAATCCCCACTATTCAGTTAATTTAAAAAGTTCATTTGGAATTTCAAACTTATATTACCTTTTTTCAAATAAATTACATATTGCCACTTCGATATACTTTTTTTTATTTTTAATGTTAACAAATCTACAATATTTATTTTTAATTTGACGATTTGGGAAAAAAACTTTTCTTCTAAAACTAATTTTTTAAAATTTGAAATCTTCAATATAATCTAAATGTTAGTATATAAATTTTTGTTGTTTGTTTTTAGGTTTCTACCGTATTCTCATTTTAATAATAATAATTATTATTATTATTATAACGCGAGCAAATTTGTAAGTCAGATGTTTTGTTATTCTAATATTTTTAAGACAAAAACAGTGAAGT